AGGGAGGGGAAGGAGAAAAAGAGAGGGGAGGAAGCAGGGAAGAAGGGAGGGAGGAAGGAAAGAAGGAAGGAAGGAAAAGGGAGGGAAAGAGTGAAGAAGGAAGGAAAAGAGGGAGGGGAAGGAGAAAAAGAGAGAGGGAAGGAAGCAGGGAGGAAGGGCGGGAGGAAGGAAGGAAGGAAATACAGTTCTCAGCCTGAAGACCAACCAAGCATCCCAAGATACCTGCTTCGTAAGAGAAAAAACATGACCTTGAACACAAAGCACAATCAGGCATATTATCTTTGGCCACCTTTCATCTTCCCTTCAACTCAGATCCAGCGGGCTGCTCAATGACCCGCACCGAAGGGCAGTGACATTTTGCATCCGAAACCACCGAAAAGGCCAGGTTGACGTTGGCTCCAGCCAAGCCCTTCACAACCTCCCTGAACATTTTCTTTGGACTGTGGCTTGTTTAGACATTGGGCATCTTTCACTGGACCAAAATAACACCCTTTGCCAAACTCTGATAAAAAAAATCCCAATGAATGGTGTACCTTCTTCATTGTTCAGAAATCTATCCATGCCACGGACCTGTGCTTAATTTTTCCTGACTTCAAAGTCTTGGGTTTATTTTGGGGGGAGCCTGAGGCACGAGGAGATGGGAGCCAAGAAGGGCTGTGCCAAGCAACCACAACAGAAGTGCACAAAGGAGCTTTGTTGGCACATGGCTGGAGACGTGGCATCTCAATCCGGAGCAGTTTCCCTCAAGCTTGCCAACTTTTAAGACGTGTGGACTACAATTCCCATGTGGGCTGGGGAATTCTGGTTGAGTTGAGTCTGTCCATCTTAAAGTGGCCGAGCTTGAGGGATACTGAGCTGGCCAGGGTCCTGCTGAGACCAAAAATCAGCCAGGCTGGCTTCCTCTAATGGCGGTCTTCCTGTGTGGTGGGATTAGGAATCCAGGGATGGGCTTTTTGTGGCTGACTCACTGCCCTGGTTGTTGTGATCTCACATACTTAAGAGTGCACAATGTTAACAGAGTCAGAAGGGACCTTGGAGATCTTCTAGTCGAACCCTCTGCCCAAGCAGGAGACCCTAGACCAGAGGTGGCTAACCTTTTTGGGCTCCTGTGCCAAAAATTGTGCTCGCACTCACCTGCCAGCACCCAGAAGGCAATGCACACACCCCGTGCCCCCTACGCATGCATGTGCGATCCCCACCCACTCCTGCCGCCCCCTTACCTGCACTGCACCTCACAGCTGATTTTGGGCCAGTTTGAGGCCTTTTGGGCCTCCCAAAGGCTTGAGCTTCTGGTATTTTTTCCAAAAATACCAGAAGTGATGAAACGGGGCTAGTTTTTGGCCTGCAAAGCCTGCAGAAGCCTTCCTCAAGCCTTTGGGAGGCCGAAAAAGGCCTCAAACCAGCTGAGAATCAGCTGTGAGGTGCGCTCATGTGCAGCGTGGTAAGTTTGCCTGCAGCTCGCGTGCCAGCAAAAAGGGCTCTGTGTGCCACCTGTGGCTCGTGTGCCATAGGTTCGCCATCACGGCCCTAGACCATTCCAGACAAAGGCTGTCCAATCTCTTCTCAAAAGCCGCCAGTGATGGAGCATCCACAACTTCTGGTGGCAAGTTGTCCCACTGGTTCATTTTTCTAACTGCCAGGAAATTTCTCCTTAATTCCGGGCTGCTTCTCTCCTTGGTTAGTCTCCATCTGTTATTTCTTGTCCTCCTTTGGTGCTTTGGAGAGGCAGTTAATTCCACTCTTCTATGTGGCAGCCCCTCAAATACTGGAAGGCTGCTCTCCTGTCTCCCCTGGTCCTTCTCTTCACTAGACTAGCCAAGCCCAGTTCCTGCAACCGTTCTTCATATGTTTGAGCCTCCAGTCTCCTAATCCTCTTGGTTGCTCTTCTCTGCACTCTTTCCAGAATCTCAACTTCTTTCAAGAGTTGTCTTTTCTAGAGTACAACGTTAGGAAAAAGTTCCTTTTTCTCTGTCTGAAGAAGGATCTAAAATTTTGCCTTTTGGGGAACCTCAGGGATATTGGTTAAACTCAGTTTAAGAAGAAATTACAATGTTCAAATTTAAATTCAGAGCACGCATCCCTTTGCTTCTATCAGAAAGAGATCAAGATCTCTCAGTATCCCACAGATCAATCCTGCTGATACTTGCTGCTCTCTGAGGATGGTTGTTTTCTTGAAGACATTTCATTACCCAACTAGGGAACAT